TTAGTATTCTTGTAGACCCTTTGGGACCAACAGAACCCTCTAGTAAAAGTCAAATATACAAGAAAAGTCAAACATGATGTCTATTTAATTATAGACAATTTTATCTTTCAAGACGAATACAATTTAACACTGAATTTCAGTTCTAACAAGGACAAATCCCAAAAGCACCTAAACAACTAGAGCAGATATAAGCAAATATGGATAAGGACACAAATCTATCAAAAAAAATACAGTTAATACACGACAGCAAGAATATAGACGAACAATATAAACAATACAAAAAATAACATGAGTAAGATAAAAGGACCAGATCTGGAAGAGGACCAGATCTGGAAGAGGACCAGATTTGAGATAAGCAAGATCAATACAACAAAGGAAGAACGGGTTTAACAACAACATACCAGATCTGGATTAGGACTAGATCTGTGATAACCAATATTCAACACAACAAGCAAGAACAAGATCACGTAATTGGAACCACGATAAGATCTAATAGATCTTAATAAGGCACACACCCAAATGATCATTTACTTTTTCAACAGCCAAGAACAGATCTACAACACTAGCAGATCAGATAGAACATGCAAAAGAAGACTGTACCAAAACAGAAAAATCCAGATCCTATGATAACCAATATTCAATATAGCAAACAAAGACAAAGATCACGTAATGGGGACCACAATAAGATCTAAAAGATCTTAATACGACACACGCTCAAACGATTATTTACTTTTCCAAACAGCAAAAAAATAGATCTGCAAAACACTAACAGATCAGATAGAACATACAAAAGAATATTGTATCAAAAAGGAGAGCAAGATAGGCAATAGAGGATACAAAAAACAAGGAACGATAACAACGAATAGGTATTGGGGGACCGAAATAAGACCTTGAAGGTCTTAACAAGGCGCACAACCCAAACCTATGAAGAATCCCTCGAAACAAAAAATAGAAGCAACAAGAAACTCGAATATCACTTTAAGGGAACCGACAATCGAGATTTTACAATCTCGTAAACCGAGAAACCCTAACAGATCCAATATTTGGTTTACTTACATAGAAATCAAAACCAGAGAGATTTTTCAAAACATAATCAAACCATATAGCTCTGATTCCATGTTAAAAAGTATAAACATGAAGAAAACATATTTATTTCATATAAAAATCAAAAGAATAAGATACAAATCTATACAATCTATTTCAATATCTGAAAACTAAAGCAAAAATAAGAATAATAACAATTTTATCTTAAATCTAGCTTAGAAACATAAATGAAAGATGAGGAACAGATTTTAGAGAGAGAGTAAAATCTTGCAAAAGTGAATGAATGATCTGGTTCAAGAAATTAGCCCAGTTATATATTTTATGTAATGTGTCAAGAATGGTCCCAGATGTTTGAATGTAGTGCTCTGCTAACCCTTAGAATCTCCAAAAGATGAGGCGCAGTACTCCAAGTATTTTTGACCATCCAACTTTGTAGAATTAACACTTTATACCCTTGCTAGATAATATCCTGACAAAACAAGTACAAAAGTATAAGTCAAGATTGCAAATATCTGATATATTTTTAACAGTTGTTCTATCGCCAAAAGAACAAAGTAGATGGATATGGAAAGGTGGAGTGGTCCCGTAGGATAAGTGTCAGGGGAGGATGGGTTTGTTGTGATTGGAATTGGTGGGTGAGGGGGCTCACGGACAAATAAGAGGAGGGGTCGCCCAGGAATTGGGGGAAGGATGGGGCTCTACATATTGTTTATATACACACATATATAATATACATATATGTAATGTAATGTATATGCGTGTACATATATCAAGTTTTTTAATAGAAAATGAAAAAAAATATGAAAAGAACAAAATACTCTTAGTTTGACATAGAATTTTTAATAGTATTAAGACAAGAGACTTCAAGCATAAGAAAATTGAAACATGAGTAGGCATGGGAATGGAGCGGGGACCTCAATCTCCGTCCTCGTCCTCGACTACTTATCTTTATCCCCGTCCCCGTCCCCGTCTCCATCCCCGTCGGGGAATATAATCACATCCTCATCCCCATCCCAATGGGGAAACATGGATTTTTTTTCGTTTATATAAGTTATTTTAAATTAAATATGTGAGAAACCATACATATTTAAATCTCAAACATTTTCAATAAACCTAAAACTAAAATGAATTTAATTTAATACAAAAAAATCACAACATCATATAAGAACTAATAACCTAAAACCAAAAAAGTTCAATTAAATTCAAAAAACTTAAAGTCATGTGTATCAAAAGATTGAGTAATATAAAATCATATCGAGTAATATACAAAATATATCGAGTAATTGTATTTTGACTTGACATCCAAAATATTACATATTAACATATAATAAAAAGCAATTTAGATTATAAACCTAGTTAGAAAATAAAAATTATGAACTACCGCTTTAATTGGAATAAATAATATACACACACATATATATGTATATATAATTTATTAATATATATATATATATATAACGGGTACGAGGGGGGGGGCGGGGAGTACCATACCCATCCCCGTCCCCATCCCCGGTTTGAGACAAACGGGGATCCCCATCCCCGTCCCTATCCCCGATTTAGCGGGGAATCCTCGTCCCCGACGGGGACGGGTGGACCGGGTTCCCCGACGGGGACGGGTGGACCGGGTTCCCCGACGGGTCGGGGCCCATTCCCATGCCTAAACATGAGGACCCTAGTCATGAATTTTTAGGGTTAGGGACCTTCTTTGTATATCGATGAAACCATAGGGACCAAGAATGTAATTAACGCATAACTAAAATTTTCATGGTCAATAGACGCCTAATTTCTTCTACCCTTTTTAACGCTCCTTCAATAAAATGTCCATCCCCCCGGTGTCTCATCCTCCCTCTCATACCATCTTTGCATGGTTAGGGTTCCTACAAACAATTAGGGTTTTCAGGTGTCATGAATGTTAAGCTTCCGATTCAAATATGTCGACCGAGAAAGAATACGGTCTTATAGGTCCATTCAAGTCAATACCGAAGGAACAAATATACTGCACTCACATACATGACAAAAATCCTTTTGGGGTATTCATCAACGGAGAAAGCCCTCATGAATCGTCTTTTTCACTTCTGTTATTAGAGCTCTCGCTAGTCCTCGTCGTTACCCACGTTATTCGTCACCTTCTCAAACCTCTCAAACAACCTCGCGTTATCTCTGAGATACTCGTAAGTTTCTTTTTTCTACGTTATTAATTGATCTTTCAAGAAATTTTGCACAATAATAGAAATATTTATCATTATTTCCTTACAAGATCAAGCAAAACTTGTCCCAAATGTCTTGAAAAAATGGGAACTTTTTTAGTCACTCCATTAAAATGGATCATTTTTATGAAACAATATGTTATGGAATCCAAATTTTTATCTTGAAGGGAGGCATAGTTGTTGGACCATCGTGCTTAGGCCGAAGCAAGAAGTTCATGAATTGGATGTTCCCAGGCCAATCTGCATTCATATTTAGGAATCTTGGTTCATTTGCTTTCATGTATTTCATGTTCTTGTCTGGGGTGAAGATGGACCTCCTCACAATAAAAAGAGCAACAAAAAAACAATGGCATATCGCAATATTTGGCATGGTTATACCTGTAGGAGCAACGCTGGCAGTTGCATTGCTTGTCAGAAATTCTTTAGAAGGTGAAATGAAGAAAATTTCTTCCATTTGGGGAGTCGGTGCATCTCTAGCCATAACATCCTTCCCTGTTCTCCACAGTATTATTCGAGAACTCAACCTTTTGAGCTCTGATATAGGACGAATGGCATTAGCTACGGCTGTTATTGGAGACGTGGTTGGAATCAATGGAGTTGTCGCATTTGAGGCTGCTAAACAAGGTGAAGGGCGACCATTAGCCCCGATTGGATACATATTATCAATGATCATCATGTCAATAACTATATTTGGAGGAACTCGAATGTTGATGTTTTGGATCATTAAAGTGACACCAGAAGGCAAACCAGTCGAGCAATTTTACATAGTGTCAATCTTGACAGGTGTTTTAGTTTCAGCATTCTTAAGCGATATGCTTGGGGTCGCATTGGTCAATGGTCCGTTTTGGTTGGGGTTGGCGGTACCTGATGGTCCGCCTTTAGGAGCCACTTTGGTCCAAAAATGTGAGTCGTTTATTTCAGAGATTTTGATGCCATTTGCGTATGCAAATGTGGGCTTGATGACAGATGTGTTTGCCATGACTGCTCATTGGTCAAAATTGCAGCCTTTGTTTCTTGTTGCATTGACGGGATATTTGACTAAACTTGTGTCAACATTGTTCATCACTCGTTTCTTTGAGATTCCCTTAAGAGATGGGATCACCTTGAGCTTGATAATGGGACTGAGAGGTGAAGTCGAGCTCTTGTTGTTTATACACTGGCTGGACTTCCAGGTTTTCTCTTTCATTTCCCTTTGTTTAAACATGTATTTTATGTAAAATGATTGAAATTATTCATATATAAATTATTGATAAAATTGGGAAAAAAAATCATCTGAAGATGCATAAGTTATTTAACCCATGTTCACTCAACTACCCTTTTACCGGTTACACACATATCAACATACATATATGAACTCACGTTTCGATTTACCAATGATTCAGATATGACCATTTATTCCTATTTTATCAACATTCTTATCTTAATTTTTAATAAGAACCTCATATACGAATATATATTGGCAGGGGTTCAAACCCTGACTTAAAAAATGCGAGAACATTTATGGGCCTCCAAATTAATAAACCTATGATAAATATTAGGATAAATAAAAATAAATTACTATTTATCAACAATTTATAGTTATCATAGATTTGTTTTTATCTCTCAAATGTTCATCGATGACTCCTATGCTGATGCCTTCATTGTCGATAATGATGTTGTTTTAATGTTATAATTCTTTGATAAATCTAATACTTCGTATGCTCATGATTTTGATATGATAATTATATGGTTTTGTGGTGGTGATGATGTGATAAATTGAAAACCAGTGATGATCATGTCTATAATCATCGGCTTTGTCTGTTAATTATGTACTTTGCAACTTTTCATCATTTTACCCTTATATACGTTCGATATTTCTATAAGGGGTATGGAAAAGGAGATAGGTTAAAATAAGAGTGGGTATGGATAGAACTAACCATTTATTTAATATTTTATTGCTCCCTCAATCCTTCTTAAACTATGGTTAAAAACAAAATTATAGGCTTACAAGTGTTCTAGTATTTGTGTAAATCACCTATTTTCTCGTTGAAACCTTTTCTTATATACATATAGCCATAGATTATTTTGAGAGGGAGTAAATATTTGAAAAATAAAGAAGTGATTCTAGTCCTTTATAAGGTGAAGATCAGATTTGACTGGTCAAAAATTACAGCTTTGACTGGTCAAGAATTACTGTTATGCGACAAATAGAGGGGTAGTTTCGTAACTTTAACAAACATGCGTCAAACGGATTCATATATGAACCCGTGTGATTCACATATGAACTAAATTTTCAAATGCGATACATATGAACTATTTTAACTGATTCATATATAAATCCGTGTGATTCACATATGAACTAATTAACCGATTCACGTATGAACCAATGAGTTCAATTCATATGTGCATTAGTTAAATGGTTCACATGTGAACCAATTAATAGGTTCACATATGACCATACAGTTCATATGTGAATCACACATGTTCACATATGAACCCATTTGTCACTCATTTGTAAAAGTTATGAAATTACTTTTTTATCTTCCGCATACATATGCGAGAAATTATCCAGTGTTTCACGGTCAAAATCACTAACTTTGACCAGATAAAGGGTTATGATCATTTTTTTACTTCTCAAATACTTTCTACTTTATATATATATATATATATATATATGTGTGTGTATATGTGTTTTTTTTTGGAGGGCATGTTGGTATGTGATCCGTGTCGTACTCGTAACATATGTGGTTATACGAGTTCGACCACAATACAACAAAATGGGTTTAATCTAAAATTTAAATGTGTCTTATCTAATAGCATCTCCAACGGAGTTCATATATTCACTTTTTAACCATGGAGTCAAAACCAAATAATCATCACTCAAATTAATCCCTACCCTAATTTACATTGTCTGGCCCCTTACATGTGGGGACCTCGTCAAAATATACTTACCTTATTCTTTTATCATCTGGTATTTGTTTTATTAATAATCAGAAAGATTAAATTACATATATTAAAGTAAATATATATTGTTAGAATGAGCATGGGAGAGACCATCTTAAAACATACTCCTTACACTAAATTACATTTTAACGTAGATATTATGATTAAAGATGCCATAAAAACGTTAGAACAAGTTGTTGGAGTAAATGAGAAGTTATAACAATAAAATTAAAAAAATCTAATAGAAGACAAATTGAATGGTCTTACTAGACTTTTTGTGTATTATAGTTTCGAAAAGTGTTTTTTATATATCAAATATTAATAGTAATATTTATTGCTATTTGGGAGTACAATCTGATTGATAATAGTAATTAGGTTCTCTAGCCTGATCCTAACATCTTTCTCTAACATATCTAAATAGGGCACAATTGTTACTCTAATAAACTCAAAAATCTGGTTAATTAGTTACTCCATTAGGACGCACAGTTCTTATTCTTCCTATAGATTTAATCTCCAGTAATTAATTATTCTATTAATTAAAGCGCCCATTTATGGAGGATTTGGTGTTCTTAAAAACCAACTTTGATCTAGTTTCTTTGTTGATATTGTTCTCATTGTATCATGTACAGTTATAAATCCTTCATTTTCGAATCTGCAGATGATCGGAATTCCGCAGTTTACGATGTTTGTACTCTTGACCATGGTTATAACTGGGGTAGCAACACCCTTGATCAGCATAGCTTATAATCCGAATCGGCCCTACATGATTAATAAACGACGAAACATCCAACACACTCCGCCGAACACGGAACTCCGCATCCTCGTTTGCTTCCTCGAAGAAGAAAGCGTTCCTGGATTAACCTATCTCCTAGATGCTTTTAACCCAACAGTACATAGTCCTTTCATGGTTTATGCGCTTCACCTTGTCGAGCTCGTGGGCCGAGCTGCTCCGGTGTTCATTAATCATTCCGAGGAAGATAACGACCATCATGAAAAGAGCGATATGGATGACACTGGAACCACACATAAAGCCTTTCATGGTATCCAAGAAACCAGAAGTGATGTTATTAAGATTCACTCATTTACATCTGTGGCACCTAATAGAAGCATGTACCAAGATGTTTGTGAACTTGCTTTGGATAAGAAATCCTCGTTGATAATATTACCTTTTAATACATCTCCATTAAGAGGCTTGGCTGGGACCGATATGATTCAAAACAATGTGAGATCATTGAACTACACTGTGTTGGACCATGCACCCTGCTCGGTGGCGGTTCTAGTCGATAAAGGCGATTTTAGAGCTTCGGTTGGGAACCTACGAGTTTCTGTGACCAACCTGCAGTACCATTTTGCGATGCTTTTTTTGGGTGGGTCAGATGCAAGGGAAGCACTGGCGTGTGCGGATAGGATGGCTGGGAACCCGAATGCTTCACTTACTGTCATACGGTTTCTTGCATATAACGGTGAAGGAGATGATGAAATGGAAAAGAAGCTTGATGATGGGTTGGTGACGGCTTTCTGGGTGAAATATGAGGGGAATGAGCAAGTGGCGTATCGGGAGGTCGTGGTAAGGAATGGAGAAGAGACAGTGGCCGCTATAAGAGCGATGAACAGCGAGTATTATGATCTTTGGATTGTAGGGAGAAAGCTCGGAATTAATCCAGTTCTGATTGAAGGTTTGTCAAGTTGGAGCGAAAGTCAGGAGTTAGGGGTGATAGGTGACTATGTGGCATCGGTTGATTTAGGAAGCTCGGCTTCGGTGTTGGTAGTGCAACAACAAGTTTTACGAGATAAAGAGAGCAAATCGGGTGGGTTACGAGGCCGAATCTCAAGATACTTTAGTGATTGTGTATGGTTTTGATTACCGATGGATAAAAGTTACATGATCGAAGCTGTAAGCTTATGATCAATAGCATAGGGAAAAGAACGTATGCATGTAACGACTGATTCTTGATGAAAAATATGATTGTTAATTAGATTCTAAAGTCTTGTATAATTGTAATTGGCATAGATGCAATTTGTCCGGCCCTAAGTACTTCTACACACAAATTTAACAACTAATATGCACAAGTTAATCCGTTCCCGATGGTGGCAAGATGAAAGAAACTAAAATATTCTATAGAACCCAGGCTTGTTTGGTTTATAGAATTTAACGGATTTCAAGAGAATTAATATATGATCAATTTCTTTGTTTGATTTATATACTAAAAATGTGGAAAACCATTGAATTCGATTGAATTGATGAATTCGTCATTTTTTCTTGGCATAACTGAAAAATTGAAATACATATTTTTGCATCCAATTTAACCAACAATGCACGCCACCTCTTACCCAAACCATGATCTGCTACTATCGTCACTGTCACGCTTCCTAGCTCCCTCCCCACCACGCCACTACTGTCTTAGTCACAATCGACACCCCAACCCACCACTGACTACCATGCCACTACTATCATCATCACAGCTGCCAACACCACCCCATCCCACTCACCGTCATGCCATTATTGCCGTTGTCACATCTAGCATTCCCACCACCCACGGATAGTACGAGAAATTTTCAGATTAGTGACAAAAACATTTGGTCACTAATAATATAAAAATGGTCACTTTGGTCATTCAATGACTAAAATTTAGGTGGTCATTTTTTGTCGCTAATTTACGTTAATGGCCATATACAAAAATGGTCACTAATTACTGACAAATAAAAACGGTCACTGTGTTTGTTACGACAAATTTGGTCATTCAATATTCTCACTAAACCGTTGAAAGTCGTCATTAATTTGATTAAATTAGTGATTTTGGTTGGTGATATCCACAAAGTAAGTCACTGGTTAACGTCTCCTACCACTAACATCAACGACTCTTTGCGACAAAAAAAAATAAAATAAAAATTGTAGTCCCTGTCTTAAGTAACATGAAAAAGAACGGTCACTAATGTTTACTGCAATGAAATTAAAAATTACCAATTTTTGACGATGGAAAAATCAAAATATTAATTACATTCATATATTCTTTGCAACAAAAATAAAAAATAAAAAATAAAAATAGTAGTCCCTATCTTAAGTAACATGAAAAAGAACGTCACTAATGTTTACTGCAATGAAATTAAAAATTACCAATTTCTGACGATGGAAAAATAAAAATATTAATTACATTCATATATTCTTTTATCCATACTAAAAACAAACATATCACAAACTTTTGTCCATTTCAACCTTATCATCACTAAATACACTTGGCATAAATTATAGCCACTGAAAGAAAACAAAACAAAACACTCTTAGAAGTGTTAGATATTGTATTTTACAACCAAAAGGAATTTGTCCAAATGCCTCAAATCATACTCCCCTCAAACGAAAATCACTGCAAAATCAAAAGAAAATTCCACCCTTCATTAAAACGACACTGGGTAAATTAGATTACATTCAATATAAAGGCCGTTTATCAAACATTTATCTAGGTAAGAGTTTACCAAGTCGCATGAATTTGCCAGATGAATATGGTAAGGATCAATAATTTTAACCAGTAAAAACGAGGCAAAGACAAGAGTCTTACCCGGTAAGTGAATGGGATGACTCTTACCATAGTAAATACTTAGCGGGTAAATTGTTGCATACAATGTGGTTTTTGTGAACAAAAATCTTAGCCAACAAATAAATGATGGTGTTTAATTTTACCGATAAGCGCTTATCGGTTAAGTGTTTAATAAACGACCCCTTGTATTCGGTAAACGACCCCTTAACATATATACTCAATTAATTTGGATAACAAAATGTGTTGGCAAACAAAAATTGGGTAGGAAGTGAAAGCCTTTGTGGGACTTGTTCACCTCAAAGCAATTATGTATAAACATCAAAAGGAAAGATATATACTCATAAATTCAAGATGTTTACTAGTGTTGTTAACCTCTAACAACTAAACTTACCATAATTTCATTATCAACAATATGGCTTAGGGGCTGTTTGTTTACCTCTTAATGATACTATTAAGAGGTAATGGTCTGATTTAGTCAGACATTTTCTTGTTTGGATAGGTTTTTAAACAAGTCTGAATGAAAACTGTACATCTGAATCGCTCCTTCAACCGCACGCCCTCCATATGATTCAGACTTGATATTTTTTCATGTTTGCCCACCCTTTTCTCTAATCATCGTTCCTGGCTCTCTTGATTTCTCCAAGCGACGCTCTCTTCTTCTCGGTCGGCTATAGGAATCGCCAGCAACCCTCTGTTCTATCAATCAGACGTCGTTCACCATTCTCGCCTTCTTCAGTCACCAATCGATTCACAGGTAACCTCTCCATTTCATAACTTCGCTCCCTACATTGTTGCTTATCGGTCTCAACCCTTCTTCTGAATCATAAACCCTAGAAAACACCAAAGATAAGAAAAATAGAATATGAGCAATTTGCTATTTTCCCCTTCAGTATCACTATAATATTTTTCTTATTTGATATCACAATGGTTAGTTTTGCTATGCTAGTAGTTGACTAGTTGGAGGTTGGGCTTCCATAATATATATCTTGAGCAATTTGCTATTACACCTTGTTGCTACCATTTACCTGCCCACTAGAATTGTTGCTCTTCCCAGGGCCTCTTGTTTGTTTTATGTTTTGCTTTGGTGTCATTTGTGCATCTTTTATTTATTTCGTCGTGTATGTTGTGACATTCCGTCATTTATGAGCCTCAGGTTAGCACCTTATTATAGATACTATATTTAGAATTATAAATTTACTAGGATCTAGTCATGGTGGTTAGAGTTCATCTGGTTTAGTTCGGAAAATCATGCCTCGGCGGGTAACCGATAAAGTTAACTTGTGTAATGCCAAATATTTTAGTAATGCTCCAAATAAAATAAAGTTGATATTATAAACTTTTAAATTAAAATACAAAATTCTCATTTGAATGTTCACATAATTTATCAAAAGGTGGAGTTTTGGAATTAATAGTGTCATTTTATTTATTGTTGGTCCCGAAAGGGTCTACAAGATAAGAAACAGTTTGTAAAAGGGGGGGGGGATGAATACAAACACAATGTTTTCAAACTTAAAATATATATTGATAGAGAAGATCAATACATATTTTACAAGACTGTTTGCGGAAAGATAAGGTAAATAAAAACCTATCTAAACAATCTTTGGTTACACACGAAGCTATAGCAAACACAAAAAAGAGAATGCTATATGATAGATCCTTTATTTAAGCTAGAGGATGCTTGAAGTAAGAATTAGGTTGAAGAGTGATGCGCGCACTCTGCAAAGAGAAGAAACACTTCTATTTATACCCAGTGCATTAAATGAACATTTAATGCAATATGGTAGGTTTAGAGTGCGTGTCAAGACTTAAAAGGAAGGCTTGTCCTTTGCTACAGTGAATAGTACAAAAGCACTTATTCTTGAGCAGACATCCTTGCCTAAAGTTGGTAGACAAAGAGTCGACTAATCGGCTCCGTACCGTACTAACTTTTGCAAGGGTATGRGTTTGTTCTTTGTGTGCATAAGGACAAGACAACAACTATCATGCTAAGCAAGCTTCTTTTGATCGCTGAATGCTGGGATGACCTKGAGGTCTCATCATCATTCGCTGAAGCTAGAGCAATCTTCACACATATGTAGACAGGTTTGTAATCACTGAATACCGCTTCAGATCACGTACTCGCCAGTCTCTAATCATCAGTTTCAGTCTTCGACGTTCGCTGAAGGTTCTTTGGTGTGAGTGTTGTCTTCTTGAAGTATTGTTGTCTCTGATGAATTTACAATGCAAGTCCTTCAGCGATCACTGAACATACTCAGTGATGATCGCTGGAACTGAAAATACAGAAACATAAATACAACGTGAAAGGAAAAAAAAGGATTATCATCAAATTACTGAGAGAGAGGATCAACATTTATGTTTGGGTAAATTATATAGTGGGTTTATTCATATTAAGAAAAATAAAAGTTTTATTTGGGTTTAGGCCTTTAGAGGCCAGCCCATTTCCTTCTTTAAAATCGGCATATAAATACCCCACATCCTTTGAAAAACTCTCATTTCCAAACTCTCTCAGCCAAAGCTTTTCATCTCTCTAATCTCTCTCTAAAACAAACCACCCTCCAGCCGATTCCTTCAAGCAAGTTTTCAGGAAAATTCTGTCAATTTTTGAAGAATATTCAAGATTTTAAGACAAAGGTATGATCCTAGTTATCTTACCCTTGTAAAATAACAAAAGTTTTCATCCTCCTACTCCTACTTCTTGGCCTTTTAGTTAAAAATTCTGGAGAGTTAAAGAGGGGAGATTATTTATCAAAGACGTGAGAATGTCTTCAAAAAGGATGATAATCCATGATCCATGTTCTTTGATCTTTAAGAAAGTAGGAGAAAGCCCATTTGCATGCGAAATCCGATCATGTAAAGATATGTTTTGAAGAATGGAAGAATCTTGCATGCATCCCAAATCGACTTGTTCATCTTGAAAATTTAATGAAATCGGAAAATAATTTCTGAAGGCTAACCGTTTTTGGTAGTTTGAAAATAGAGATAAAATCCTTAGAAAATGATGAGTTTAGACCCCAAACAGCTGTCACTCGAAAAGTGTGCAATCTGTTTTGGGGGCTATGTAATTCAAGGTTGTAGGATAATAATGAGTAACTTAAACCCACTCAAATTTCTTAATATTTGGAATAGTCGGCTGATCTCATTATTTTGAATGATGTAAATTTATAGTGATTTGTGAAACCCAAATTATACCTGGAACAGAATTTATAATCTGTCCAAAAATCAKCTTTTGAGTAAAGGATTTTGATTTCTTTTAATATATATAATTTTTGGGCTATTTTTAGAATAAATAATAAATATCAACTTTATTTCATGAAAATCCGATGACATT